AGCCGGGGGGATAAGTGTGGAGCGGCGCGCAGGGACAAGCAGGGGCATGCCATGCCGAAATGCTCGGGGCAGGAACCAAGAGGCACAATTTGGGGGAGGGGCATGGGTACTAGTCATTCCCAGAGAATCCCAGCACCCCGGATTGGCGGATTGAAACGGACACGGCACTCAGGTGACACCTGTGACACCCGTGACACGCCTCTGCTCTCCTAAACCTGGGCAGCAGGCCCCGGCGGCGTCCCTGCGATGACTGATCCCGGGGCCAGGGGTCATGTGCTACTGGGGCATTCCTGTGATTGGCTGTCACACCATTGTTATAAAAAGTCCTACTTCAATAGCTATTTATAACCAGGTAACCGTCCTGTGATTCAGAGCCAAGCTGGGCACGATTCCGGCGCTTTTCAGATGTAGATAGCTGGCATTACTCATGATTCATTTTATGTTAATAATGGACCGGCAGCAGAAGCCCCCATGTGCCCTGTAGAGCTTGTGCAACACACACACACACACACACACAGAAACACACACACACACACAGAAACAAACTCACACATGTCTGTATTCAGATGTTTGTGAGGACTGTTCATTCATTTCTATGGGGAAAACTCTAATCTCAACATGGAGACCCTAACCCTACCCTAAGACTTTTGCCATTTTCAGTTCTTTGATTGCAGTTACAGATTTTTCTAAAATAGAGTTTCCCCTTGTGGGGACAGAAAAAGTGGTCCCCACAACATTAAAATAGCAGGTTTTTTATCATACTGAGCAAACATTTGGTCTCCATATTGTAAGATATACATAACCACCCCCTACCCCCCCCCCAACCAACACACACACACTCACACACACACACAAACAAACAAACAAACAAACAAAGGAAATAAGAGCTAATTAAATCAAGCTAAATAGAATAGAAATGAATCTGCATGGTCTGATTCTTAAGTGTGTTCCCTTAACCACCCCAACAATAAGCCACCCCCCCCAGTATAGTACATAGCTACAGGGCTCGTCTTGGCCCACAGGCTGAGCCTTGAGGCACCCCCACAGAAGGGACATGGGGAATGTGACTGCGTGTGATGCACGTCCCAGCCGTCAGCTATCGGAAGAAGAACGTGCGGTGAGCTTGAGACAGAGCGTTTCAGCATTCATCTCGTCAGCGCCTGACCGTGCGAAAAAGTGCGATGCACTTAAGTCAGGAATGAATGTCTCTCTTGCCCACATGTGCTGCTTGCTCTCCCTGCAGATTAAATCTGAGGCATCAGCGACAGCTCGGCAGAGGAACAGGTCCTGCCGTTTACGTCACACCCAGCGCTCCCCTTCTTCCACATTAACAGGCGAAACAATCTGGCTATTCAGATCATTCACACGGGCTGCCAATCAAGCCAGAAGCAGCCGTCCCTGAACAGCACTCCTCAGCTTCAGCCATCAGAAGGACCGCACAGACACAGTCTGACAGCCCCACCCTGCCCCACGCACCCAAAACCAACCCCCATCACACTCCCACAGCAAATTTTAAAAGGTGTGCTTTTAAGGGCACAAGCGAGCCCCCATGGGGGGGGGGGAGGGGGGAGGGCGGTCTTCATTTCACTACTGCTATTCACCGAAACAGGCTGCAACACCCATACACCATATTTGAAATGCCACTCTGGTATAGCACCTATGAATCCTACAGGAGTCACACTAAAAAGTGTACTCAGCAGACCACGACCCCAGGCAGACATCTTCTGAAGCTTTTGCGCGCTTAAAATGCCTCTGCTCTAATACCCGACCTTTTATTGTTAAAAAAAAAACCCGCACGCACGCACACATGCACAGAACCGACAAGTGGAGGCTCCCTGCTGGTGACTTTCTGTTTAGTCATCAGGCTGGTCAGACCGTGAGTCTTGCTGCATACCTCCAGCTACTAGGTGTGGTCTTGACTGGTACTTACTGTTCCCTCCTCGCCTATGCTGCCTAAAGGCACTATACATTACTGTAGGCCTCTTGTGGCCCTGGGTCTCTTGGCCAGGCTAGTGAGCAGCCTCGTGCAAAGATGCTGACTGATCACCTTCTACCAGACTTACTTCTGATTCTCTGTAGGAAAGAAAACAAACAAATAACCATATATTCTTTCCTCTTATACTCAGACTGACTGATTTGAGCTCCTTGGCTCGTACACGCAATACAGAGAGGTTACCGATCGCCACAGATTTAGGAAGACATTTGTGTTGCCAAGTCACAGTGACGGAGGAGATGTCCACATTTTAGGCGAAAACATGTTATCATCATCCGCATTCTAACAATCCATAAAATCCAATCAAGACAAATAACATGTACAACTCACATTTTCGTCGAACAGATTAATTGATTTAACGCACGGAAAGTGTGCGCCTGAAAGATAAACAGCTTAATTACAGTGGCAATTAGAGTCAGATGTTCCAATCAATCAGATGATAGTCAGATGTTAGTTTGAGGAGACCTTCCCTACATCGACAAAAAAAAGAAGGCTGTTGTCAGTCTGCCGTTTAGGGTCTCAGTTTACTGAGCGGTGTGCAAATGGAGAAAATTCAACAGTGTTTTTTGTACTCTCTCGAGCAAAGTTGCTGAAAGATATGCAACATGTCCGAGAGGTCACAGAGAGCCCTGGTGTGTGTAAGGACTCTGCGGGCATGTCTCGCCCTGATTAACGTCACTGTTTGTGCGCCCACCATAAGGAAAACACTGAGTTAGTGTTGTGTGTATGCAAGGATACTGAGAAAGGAATCACTGCTCTCAAAAGCAAGCACTGCTAAACTTGAAATTGAAGGCAAGTAACTGCCTGGACAGAGCATAAGGTCACTGGGAAAATATTATGAAGACAGACGGGACAGAGTGGAATTTTCAGCAAACTACAGTTCAAAGTCGTCAAACTTGCATTACTGTACAGAAACGCCCCCCGGAGCATTAAAAATACCCGTAAATATCCGTAAAAATAACCGTAAAAATACCCGTAAATGTGTGATCAGACTCAGCTTGTGGTTGTATAACCAGGTTATTTATAGCCCATTCATACAATCCTGCAATTTACAACCTCATTTAAAAATTCAGCCATTTGAAATTTTGCTATATCTTAGCACATCAAAAAGCATAAAAGACACTGAGGATTGTGTGCAGGGAAACAAAATTATGACATGGAAAAAGTGCAAAACATGCACGCACGCAGGCACGCACACACACACACACACACACACACACACACACACACACATGCGCAGACTCTCCAAGCAAATGCAATGAACAATGCTTTGGATAATAAAGATTCAAAATTCAACATTCAAAAATTCAACCACAAACCCATGAAACAGACCAATAAAACATTTCCAAGTGAGGCATTACTCTTGAACACTGCAACAAAATAAAACAAAAATTATACTTTCATACAGTATAATCATTCTCAACACGCGGAACCTGAAGTTGACCTCGATTTGCAGCAATTCTCATTCCTGTACCTTGACTGACTGATTTGATTCCCAGTTCTTGTACAACCCACCAGAGGGGGATAAAGAATACAACTGCTCATAGTATTTCTCCTGAAAAATATTACAAGCCATCCAAAGATTTAAATACCTTACAACAAGTGTGGCTGCAAGGGATCCTGGGAAATAAACGGCAGCCAAGATGAGGTAGGATACAACATGTTACGCTAAAGAATATCTACCCTCCCCCTCACCTCCAGCAGCTGGAGAATCCTGCCATTATGAAATAGTACATTTACCAGAGCCACCGGTCTAGCCCAGTCTGTTACCTTAATATATTCATGTTAGCTAGTGCCTCTCAAATTATCTGAATGAAAGCAAACGTGTAAAATTGTACACATATACAGTAAGAAACTTTTGGAATGGAACAACAGTTATGTATGACTCTGACCACTAACTCGACCACAATTCCAACAGAGCAACTCAACTCTGGACTACAAAGGCTTACAGTGCTTCTCAAGGGACAATCACACGTGTATGGCTGATCACAGAACAGCTCCTGTGTAAATAAAATGGCATTATTGCTGTTTAATCCTAAGCGGCTTAAATAAGTAAACAATACCTAAAGTAGCTGGTCATGTCAACGTCCGTGATTGTACTAATCTGATTCCATTGTCAAATCTCGGTTTACGTGTACACGTTTAAGACATACATGGCTAGTACTGCAAGTAAACGTGACCTGATTTCCAACAAGATATTTGACAAACTAACATGACGTCAAAGTAGGCATTCCAACAATTTGGGGTTACAAGCAAAACTGGAGATACTGTAAAGTGCAAAAGTTTTCCCCATATAATATAATCCATGAATGACCTCTTTCTGGTAAAGATCTAATTATAATTGCCTTCCCTGAATATTACCTTCCAAAGACAACAAAGGACTATTTAAAGATAACAAATGACTACAAAATAACAATGGTAAAATGTAACTGAAGAATGTGTTAAAAAGTCCGATGGCAGCCTGGCCAGGTAACTCTCCTCTATATTTACAATGGTGATGATGGTGCGGGTGATGATGCTTATTATTATTGTTGTTCTTGGTTCATTGCCAACTTTTGCCGTACTTCTTGGTGCAAATATAGCAATACTACAAGGATTACATTTAGGGACAGACACCTCCTGTTACAGCTGTCATCAAGACGACATTGGTCCAAGCTGTTCACACAATCCGAGCATTACAGTCACTGCAACTGCATCAGTCTGCGAACTTCACATAACACTCGTGTTATACGCAGAGACGGAATCACCAATAGATCCGACAAAAAGTTAATTCTGAGACAGAAGCAACATAGCTGCGCATTTTTAACGAGATTAAATCTTCGCAGGTTGGGTTTCTGCGGAACCCACTCTGCTTGCGGTTAGCTGCTACCATCAAGGCGGTCAGACACGTGGAACAGCACCGGCCGTAATCTGCAATGTGGCCCTTCGGATTAACACATGCATGCGGCCGATCCCGTCCCAAAAAGCGTTGCAGACCTTCCTTATGAGCCCGTGTCCCGGCACTCACCTTCCAGCCCGCCGAGCTGTTGCTGTCACCCTTGTCCATGAAGTAGGGCACACTCCTGACCATCCAGTCGTAGATCTGGGAGAGGGTGAGTCGCTTCTCTGGCGAACTCTCGATCGCTTTGGTGATCAGGTCGGCGTAGGACATATTCCCCCAGGCATTGCGGCGGGACGTGCCGCTTTTCCGCTGAGCGGCGGCGGAGGAACCGAGCGGAGCGGGCAGCGCGGCCACCTGTTGCGGCAGCTGGGAGCTTGGATGCTGCCGTTGCTGCTGCTGGTGCGCGCAGCCGTCCCGACACTGGAAGCCGCCGCACGTAGCGCCTTTCTCCTCCGGAAAGTCTTCGGCTTCCTCCAACAGACTGAGGCTGCCGATGAAATCGGTGCCGCCGACCGGCTCCTGTTTGACAGACGGGGCCGGCGAGGACGTGCCGGAGTCGGCCGGGTTGATGAGCTCCGGCCGAGGCAGCGGCCAGGTGCACGAACGCGGCCGCGTCTGCGGCTCGAAGTCCGGGTCGATGTCTACGAACTGCTGGGCTGCCTCAGCCATGATCACAGCCAAAGAATTTTTTTAATTATAATTATAAAAACAATACCAACTCCAATCTATCTTTTACATAGAACTCCCAACAAAAACATATATTTTAAAATATCAAAAACAAAATTAAAAGTGTGTCATACACAGCGACGGCGAGTAGCGCACATGCAAGCGGAGAGGAAAGTAACTCCGTCACTCTGCAGACAAACTAGCTTGCTGTCAGCTCCCTTTAGCGCTCGCATTAGAGAAACCAGAAACTAACAGCCCAGAACCCTAATTGATCTGCCTTTTTTAAGAGCCTCCCTAGGCGTCTGGATCTTATTACGGCGGCGGTTTTTGTGATCTGGAGTCTGACAGTCCGCTGTCAGCATACTTTCTGCCCGCATAGAGTCTCGTCAGCAGCGGACGGAGCCTGCAGACTGTACAGCCTGACACGCCGTTACAGCAACTATGAAGTCGGAGGGCTGGGCCCGCCCAGTGCTGAGTGACAGGCGCCGCCGGCCAATCGCGGCCGCCCGACGAGCCAGCGTGGTGACGTCGCTCCTTCGCTTTGTTTTTCTCTCAGCTGGCAAGCGGGCTATTTAAGTTTTTTTTTTTTATTTCCAGTAATTTTTGTTTTCTAGCGACGTATGTCGAAGCTCTACGTGCAAAGCGGAAAAATGGTACAGCTTCGCTTCGTTGGAAATAAGCGATTGAAAATGTTTTTTTTCGTTTGCTGGTTAATCAGAGAAAGATTAGTTGCAACACTGCGAGTTGGAAGTTTGTACAGTAGGCTGTGTTAATATTATTATAACGGGCCTCCCTGTCCGGGGTCTCTCTCCTGCTTAGTGCTCCCCCGTGCGATCCTATCCAAGATAAGTGGTTGGAAATTAGATTGATGGATGGTATCGTTGTAGGATCTGTGAAGATGCATACATATCGATGAATGATATGAATAGCATAGATACTAGTATTTTCAAAATAAATAAAAATGACATTGATAACAGTCATTACTATAAATTGTATCACGTCGAAATTTTCTCAAATTGTAACCATCATTGCAAGTAACGCAACTAGTCCTATTATGTCGCTTGGCAAATTGCAAACCTCCAAAACAATGCCGCTTTAATATAAATAAATCCTCAGTGGAACGACAAAAAGATCAAGCAGATCAAAGTTGGCCCCGCTGATTCCAGCTGCAGTACCGGTCATGAGAAATTGTTGGCTTTATTGCCAAGATTAAATGGAGGCGGATAACTGACAAAATACTGAATATATTTAGCCACAAATACTCATTAATACATGAAATGATACATTTAGGTGTACCATTAGAAATGCATGTGTCGTTTTTGTGAGATTTGACACAGCAGAAAAAAGAAAATGCTCTTCGCGTGTAAAATGTTTTCAATGTTTATTATAATTTTCAAGACACGTTCGTTAGCTAGGTGGCTCAACAGGGGACACTGTTGCTGAGGGTTCGAATCCCGTCATTGTTCTGTATAATCTCCCTCGGGAACTGGTTTCTTGGTGCAGTCCATATACAGTTTTGGTGACTTGATGTCTGTAAATTGCCCGTGCATCTATATTTTTATTTAGATTGATTTATTTCGCAGATCCTTATATCCAAAGCGATGTACAAGTGAGGAACATACAGTAGTACATTACATGCATATAGCTTGAATACCCCGTGATGGACTGGCCTACTGTCACGGTCGGTCAAACCATTAGGCGATTGCCTAGGGCACCACATTCTGAGAGGGCGCATATTTAGCCAGTCAGTTTCGCTTTGTCTTGGATGGTATGCGCCAGCAGTGAAGCTTGCCTTGGGCTCCATGGTAGGTCTTGTCTTGTGTCCCGTGCTGCCTTGTGTCCTAGCTCCCTCCCGTTGCAGTACTGAATAGGTGATGGAAAACGGACGGACGGATGGATGTTGTTTCTAGCGAGTCTATCACACGATAAACTCACAAATTATAATCTACACTTCTGCGCCCTCTTGTGTCTACATCTGGCAGTAATTCAACCAGTACCTTAAAGGACGAATCATTAAGCGTACAAAGAAAATTGTATGTAGTTTCAATTATAGTTCAACGATCTATTTCGACATATCTATTTAAAATCAAAAATGAAATGAAAAAGTGCTACATGTTGTTACTACTGTAAAGGCGTTATATATTTAACCCAGATGTTTATAATATCTGTTCTATTGTACTGAATATGCGCCGCCAACACAACTTCTCGGGAACGTCTTAAGACGCATCCCTTCCGGAAACCAGGGGCGGACTGAAGGGGTGGTCATAGCTATATAGCTATATAACACCAAAATAACAAAAACTGAATATGGATTATTTTACTTTCTATGCGGAACCATTGAAGACATACCCCCATAAATATAACAGATCTCTGATGGCCGCTCCAATCATTTTTTTGAAAGCACCACCAATGTAACCCCATGCTGCTAAAGACTCTCGCCGGCTCTCTGCCCTTGTTGAATATTCTATTGAAATGGTTTCACCTTTCACTCTTGGATCCTTGTTATATTTTGAAGTACGATTTCAGTTTCGACTAGACTCTCCTGGTGCTATTTGAATAGCCTTTCGGTCATACGGTTCTTTGCACTCGCTAATATCTTGCAATTACTGGCTACCCACTAGAAACTTTGGTCCCTTGAACGTTCTGTGCTTGTGGTCTATTGTGAACTTATACGAGTCTTTAGAGAAAAATGCATGATAAATAATTAAACATCAATACATCGCAACTACACGTCATATCCTCTACGAGTTTCTGAATGCAACGCTATACTGACCCCTTGTGGTACATCTTGATACAATTATAAAATATGACTAATAATACAACTTCAGCTACACGGAATTTTCATTGTAGTTGAAATCTCTAGCTAATATATAGTGAAAAGATATAATATATAGTCAAACGATCCGTTACACTTCAGTATTTTCAAAGAAATGTCAAGTTAAACAGCGTTTCTCAAACCAGTCCTGGGAATTGGGAAAGAGCAAAAACGTGGACTTTCTGGTTTGAGAAACACTGTAATAAAATTAAATATTGTAGTATTGTGAAGTATTTCTGTACAGCGATGGATACATCTTACATGCATTTGCATGAACTCCAGGGCCTGTTTACCGTTATAAACCTTTGTCATTACTAGCCTAACATCGACACGTTTCTCAAATACCTACATTAATGGATTCCCTGAGATTATATTGACTATGAACACCGTTGCTATTAACTTAAAAAATATGCCTACTAGGTTTATTACCACCCACAAATACCACGTGCAGTTGTATAAACAGTACGCTAGGTTGCATTTATGAGCAGCTCGATATCATTATGGCTGGAGGTAAACATGGCTTTGACCCGCATACCTTTTGTCAGCGTTAGAAACCTGTTCAGTGGGAGAGAAATTTGTATTTCAGTATACACTCACTTCATTTGGCCGAGAATTTAACCAGCTACCGTCCCACAACCACAATATTTAAGGTTATAAAACCCTGTCCTTAAACTAGATGTCACTGTCCTCTTCACACTCTCAAAACTGATGTGTTAAAATCCTACACACTGTTTGTCTTATTACAATTAAATTATGGAGGGAAATCCCGGACATTTTTCAAAAGGAATTGCAAATTGCATTTGCAATTGCGTTTTCCATATGTGGACACATAAAGTATGACATAATTCAAATGCAATTGCAAATTTTGCATTACCGTTTGCTTTTTCGCTTTCGCGAACGAACACTGAATGCCACATTTCAAATGAAAAAGCAAAGTCCATTTGCAATTGCATTTCTCATGTCCTACAAGGGGTGGGTCTATACTGTGGGGCGTGATTGTATGGGGAGTGACGTCACTCGCAGTCGACGACCAAGAGGGGTGTGGAAGTAAATTAAAGACAAAAGTCGTTGATGAAAAAAACACGTTGAATTACACTTATCGAATAATCCAAAATTAAGTTCCAAAACATACGTATTTTAAAGTGCATGTTTATAATTCAACCACATGAATTCAGTTTAATTAATAATTTCGCCTCAAAATAAATTTCAAAAGAACAAATTCAGTTGAAAATATTCCATGTGTTTTATTCGCATCTTTATTATTCAAGAAGTAACATTCAGTCCTCTTATTTCTGCTTTACAATATTTAATCCCGTTATTTTCGCTGTTTCAAATACGCTGCCACAATTTCAGTGGTTTAAAATACGGTCCGAAATTCAACCCTCTACATCGAGGACTAGCAGGATGAGCGATAGACTGCCGATAGAGTTCTCAGAGCTCACCCGATAAATCTAACGGACCAACTAATACTCTTTTTGCTCTTTACAGCTTTTCAAATGGAAGGAAGTGGAACTCCCGAAACACTTGTTACAGTGTTCCTAGATGGCAGGGAGATTTGTAGGAAGATTCATCAACTGAACACCGTGGCAGAAATTCCTGATGTCTGTAAAACATCGTTGAACTCTAATGCAGAATGTGATAGACTTCTAAAATTTAACACGGATTTGAACGAATTCATTGACACCGACATCAATGGAAATGTCCAGAATTTGGACAAATATAACATTTTGTTCAAGTCAATCAAGCCAAATGACCCACGGAAGGAGCTGGTATGTATGTTTATACTAAGTCTCTTTGTGCCATTCTGATTATGTTATTGACCTGCTTAAAAGCAGTCGGGTGGAAATTAATTTGACACAGTCCATGGTGCTTTTCATACTAGCCCTGGATATTTACCCACAAAACAATGCACTGTGTACTCCTGTCTGTACAAGTTGACCGAGGCTTACTGAAAGCTTACTCAAATCATCTACATAGTGTTCACTGTGAAGTAACTTTCAGTGAGCCTCAGTCAAGGTGTCCCAACAGGAGTTTGATTCCTTTGACTTTGGTGCAGCTGTAAACACATTTTTAATGATTGCTCAGATGATTTTTAATGATTGTCAGAGATTGAACAGATGTTTCTGTTCAATCTCTGACATGTTTCTTTTTAAGGCTCAACCATCCTGTGGCCTATGATGTCATCTACTTAGATTTCCAAAAGGCTTTTGATGTTGTCCCCCACAAGAGGCTCTTACTTAAACTCAAAGCAACAGGTATTTTAGGAACTGTAGCGACCTGGATTGATAACTGGTTAACAGATAGGAAGCAGCGAGTAGCTATAAGAGGCACAATGTCACAGTGGGCCTGCGTTCTTAGTGGGGTACCGCAGGGTTCAATATTAGGACCACTATTGTTCCTAATTTACATAAATGATATAGACACCAATATATACAGT